ATGGTGGTTAAGAAGCTGGACTCAGGCCCAGCAGGTGGCATGGTGGTTAAAAGCTATATTCCCACATGGTTGACCACGGTTCAAGTCCCACACCTGGTGGCTTGTTTTCTCGCTTTCCCTTTCTTTTTCTCTCTGTCTCTTATCTGTCAAATTAAAAAATAATAACAAATTAAATAAATAAATATTTTTTTAAAAGATGCTGGACTTCCACATGGCTGACCATGGTTCTAGTCCTGGACCCAGTGGCTTGAAAAATCATGCCAGGCACCTATGTGTGCATGCCCAAAACTCTGAGAGGAGAACGCAGGACAAGAGATTGCAGAGTGGCTGTCCCCCCCCCCCCAGGGGGGGTGATTTCTAGCTTTCCCTCTCACTGCCTCTGTCTCTGATGAGTGCACACACCCTATAGCAAAGACCTAAAAAAACAAAACACAATCCCAGCCCTCAGGTACATAAATGTGATCCTGCTAGGGGAGTACGGAGCATGTTTGTTCCCTATGGGGCTAAGAGCATAGGCGAGCATTACAAGGAAGCAGACTGGATTCAGAAATTTGTTAGCTGAGCTCTTAACAGTGTGGTGGCTCCCAAAAGAGGTGCTGAGTTTCCAGTCCCTGGAGTATTCTCACAAAGGCTTCACCTGATGACTTAGTAGGACAAACTTAGTTTATTCACCATTTATTGAGCACTTATTACATGTCAAACACCAGTCTAGGGACAGGGCAGGGGTATGTTGATAATAAAAGCAAAACAATCTGGGTCAGCCAGGTGACATGGCTAAAGCAGCTAATCCCACCTGGCCAACTAAGTGGTTCAAGTCCCAGACCCAATGGCTTGAAAATCATGCCAGGCATATGTGCATGTTTGCCCAAAAATCCCAAGAGGAGAATGGAGGCTAAAGGATTGTGCCACAGATATCGCATCTCAGGGGTGCTTCTCACTTTCTCCCCAACTCCTGCACATGTGCTCCCACATGATCTACTGTGCAGTTCCAGTCCTTGAACCCAGTGGCTTAAAAGACATGCAAGGACTGAGGGATGGCCGGCAGGTGGCATGGTCATTAAGGCCCTGAACTCCCACATGGTCAACCATGGTTCAAGTCCTGGACCTGGCAGCTTGCTTTCTCACTTTCCCTCTCTATCTGTCTATCTCTGATCAAATTAATGATAATAATGGGACCGGTAGGTGGCATGGTTGTAAAAGGCACTGGATTTCAACATGGCCAACTGCGGTTCAAGTTGCAGACCTGGCGGCTTGCTTCCTCGCTTTTCCTTCCTCTCTCTCTATCTGGTCAAATTAAAAAAAAAAAATCATAACAAATGAAATTAAATACGTAAAAATTCTTTTTAAAAATGAATAAAATTAAATAATTCTTTAAAAAGAAAAAACTTCCAGGTACATGTACATGCATGCCCAAAATCCCAAGAGGAGAGTGGAGGAGAAGGGACTATGGCTTGATCAACCTCCTGGGGGGTGCTTTCTCTCTTCCCCTCTCTGACTCTGATTCTCTGATGAGCACAAGCACCCTATAGCAAATTGAAAAAAAAGAAAAATCTGCCGAGAAACAGTTAAAATAAACAAATTACATAGTATGTTGGAAGGCAATGATTCTTACTGGGACTAGTAGATGGCATAATGGTTACCTTACTGGACTCCCATCCTGTCACCTGCAGTTCAAGTCTTGGACCCAGCAGCTTAAAACACACCTGGCGTGTGTGTGTGTGTGTGTGTGTGTGTGTGTGTGTGCCCAAAATCCTGAAAGGAGAATGGAGGAGAAGGGGTTGTAGCATGGCCATCCCCCCAAGGGGTGGTTTCTCGCTTTCTGTCTCTCCAGAGAGTGCACACACCCTATAGCAAAAATCTCTCTCTAAAAAGAAAGCAATGAGTCTTATGGAGAAAAATAAAGTATGATTGGGAGGGAGGGATTTAATTGTACATAAGATGCTAGAGACACGTCTCTCTAACAGATGGTGTTTCAGTGGAGACACAGAGGAAGTAAAGGAATTAGCCTTGTGAATGCCTGGTGAGGTTCAGGGACTTAGTAGGGGAGAGGTAGCATTCCAAGAGAAGATGAGGTAAGGCGAAGTCTCCAAAACAGGTGTGTACATTGTACGTTCCAGGTGTGGCAGGTGCAGAGTGAACCAGGGGGAAGGCCTGAGAGATGGACTGGAGGACTTGGGCTTTTTCTCCGAATGCAAGGGGATGCTCTTGGAGAATCTCTGCAAAACAGTGACATGGTCTGACCTAAGTTTTCACAGGCTCAGTCTGCTGCTGAGCAGAGAAGGGGTGTTAGTAATAGACCAGAAAAGAGAAGGTGATAGCTTTGATGATTTACATGGTTGATCCTGGGTTCCTTGACAGGAGAACCAACAAGATTCGCTGGTGGGTCAATTGGAGGTATGAGAGAGAAGGATGTTTGGGGCTAAGCACCTAGGAGGGTGACGTTGCCGTTGTGTGGGGTGGAGAGGAGTGTGGGAGAGGCAGGCAGTGTGAGAGCCTGTCACACATGCAGGTGGTAGTGGCCAGTAGACAGGTGGATGTGCAAGCCCAGGAGAAGAGTCCACACTGGAAGTGTAAGCCAGGAGTCACCATCGTGTGGGGGACATTGAAATTTATCCAGTAGATACGATTCCAGACAACATCTGTCAACAGAGAAGAGGTAATGGCCAGAGGCTAGGCCCCAGGACCCAAGTCAAGGGCCCAGAATGGGTAGCTATTATGTTATGTAAACTGTAGCTCATTTTTGATTGGTTGGTAGATTTTTTTTTTTTCCTTAGATTTTTGTCATAGGACATGTGCATTTGCTGGAGAGATACACAGGGAGAAGGAAAGTGAGAAATCATCCCCTGGGGGAGTGGCCCAGTCCCTTCTCCATTTTCCTCTTGGGATTTTGGGCACCTAGGGACATGCGCCTAGTGTGTTTCTCCAGCACTTGAACCGCAGAGTCAACTGTGTGAGATCCAGCACCTTAAACACCATGGCATCTGCTGGCCCCACATTAAAAAATACAGTTACTGAGAGATCTGCGTTTTGCACCTAAAGCACTGTGCATTTGATCTCTGAGCCCCTCTATCTCTGGTAGACTGTGTCCCTTGGTATATTAGTTATCTACTACCACATGACAAATCAGCCCAAAACTTAGCAGCTGAAGACAGCAAGCATTTGTTACCTCACACCATTTCTGAGGGTCAGGAACACAGACACGGTGTCACCTGGGTTCTGGCCCAGGGTCTCATTAGATTACAGTCAAGACAGTCAGCTGGTCCTGGGCCCCGGGAGTCCACCCGCATGCTCACTGCTGTGGGTGTTGGCAGAGGCTGTTCCCCACCACATGGACCTCTGTGGAGCTGTTCAGCACAGCAGCCCAGGTGGCCAGGGAGCAGAGAGAGCAGGAGCAGGCAGCAGGCATCCAAGTGGACGCCACAGCCCTAGCTAACCTGATCTTGGAGCCAGTGTTCCGTCACTTCTGCCACAGCCGTCGATCACAGACCAGCTCGTGGAGGGGTGGCACAGGTGAGAATATCAAGATGGCCGTCAAGATACAGAGCAGGGGCTGAACCTACGGAGCACTTCGTGGATAAGTAGTGAGTGAGTGGTGGGGGTTCAGGGTTAGTCGCCTTTATACGGTGTGATGAACAATTTTAACACACCTAACCGGTAAGCAATGTTCTTTCAGTGTTGACCTGGCATCTTCTGCAGGAAGTTGTGATGTGGTGTTTAAATCAGGAACAACTGTGTATTGAACATCGTAAAAGGCAGTTTGCCTTTCGTGGTAGTAATTACCTGTGTTTCTCTTCTTCCCTCAGCCTGCCTTTGGTCTGCTTCTCGAAGGTTCAACTCACAAAGTGCTTCATTTCCACAAGGGTAATATCAAAATGTGGGTTTTGGTGACTCTTTTTTTCTTTCCATCTGTAGAACTGTCTTACTAAATTCAAAACAGTACATTTTGGTTTTTAAAGAATACTTCAATTTTCTCTTAATTTTTTTTGTTTAAGAATCATCCATTTAATTGTGTTTCTTTACTTTATTTTTAATTTTGCTATAGGGCATGCACGCTTAACCAGCAAGAGTCAGAAAGAGAAAGAAAGTGAAAAAGCAAGCTGCCAGGATCCAGGACTTGAACCGTGGTCGACCATGTGGGAGTCCAGCAGGCCCAACCACCATGCCACCTGCTGGCCCCTCTCTTAACTTTCTGGATAGTATTTTTCTCTGACTTTTACTATAAATATAGACAATGCAAGAGGCCAGAGAGAAGGGTGTTCTCTTACTTTTATTATGGGAAAGCTTTAAGTTCTAATTCAGGATTTTGAACCACAAAGATCATATCGGAATCTATAGAAGGGACTCATGTAATATGAAAAAGCATATTCAGTGTTAAAATTGTATACTTAAAAAAGTGTTTTAAATTAACACCAGCTACAGAAAGTACATTTGACAGCGTTATACTCGCTGGGAGGATGCCCCGGCGTACTGCAGGGTAACGGTTACCTGTAGGGAAGCTCAGGGTCCAAGCCCAGCCTGCACCTTGCAGCCCAGGACACTCAGCAGCAACAAAATCTTTTTAAAAACACTCACCTTCACAGAGCTTCTGCAAGATGGAGACCATGTTTGTATCTATCTCCTTGGGGACTTGTGAGAACTCCATCAGTGTATCCATTTAAAGAGCTCGGGGTAGGGCCAGCAGGTGGTGCAGAGCTTAAGTTGGCTGGATCCTACATGGCCAACCATGGAGTTCAAGTCTCAGACCCAGCAGCTTAAACATCATGCTGGGCGAATGTGTATATGTACCCCAAATCCCGGGAGGAAAGTGAAGGAGAAGTGATTGCAGAATAGCCATCTCCTCTAGGGAGTGCTTTCTCACTTTCCCTCTCTCTCTAGCAAACACGTGCACCCTATAGTAAACTTAAAAAAAAAAAGCCCCAGGATAGGGCCTGGCATATAGTAAGCTCTCAGAATACCTTGGCCATTGTTGTTCCCTGTTGACTCCAGGGAAGTCCAACAGTCTCAGCAATGGTGAAAAAAAAAGGAGTTTTTTTGTTTTTCAAGAGGAGAAGATGAAAAATAGAATCTGAAAATAAGAAAAAAAAAAAATCCCAAGTAGCATTTTACCAGATGAGATTTAATTTTTTTTCTATTGCCTTTGGGAAAGGTTGCAGCATTCACACCAGGACCATTTTCCTACTTCTGTCCCTTTCGTGATCTTTAGCTGGGCACTTCCAGACCCAGCTGGGCACTGTGAGACCAAACGGTGTACAGGTCAGAGTCTCTTCCTGAGGGAACCTAGCGAGCAGCACCTTCCAGCTCTGCAAGATCATTGCCCAACCTCAGACTCCGAAGTTCATGTCTGAGGTGCTCAGAGACTAGTGCAGAAGGCAAGTGTTGGTGCATGTCACAGACTCGTGCTGAGCCCCTTCGGTGGAGAAACTTTTTTTTTTTCTTATACAAACGTGAAGTAGAAAGGCTAAAGGTTCACCTCCTGGTGGCAGCAGCAACAAAAATTTTTTTTAATTCCATGTGGGCTCTACCTTCTTCTTTTGAGCCCAGGCCCACTCCTTTGCCTCCCCTGCCTCCTTCCACCAGCCCCCAACTCTCATCTGTCCATGCAGGGCATGAGAGAGAGCTACTGAAATGAAGCAGTCACTGCTGTACTGAGCTTGGTGTCCTGGGGGGGGAGGAGAGGGGGAAGCAGGTGACCCCAGATGGGCTCATGGCAGTGATGCTGCTGCTCCAGGGACCAAGCACTGGTCGAGTCCCCACTGCTGGGTCCTGTCCCATCTAATGCCTCCACAGCCCTGCAAGGCAGGTGCTTGTTCCCACTTTCTCAGCTAAAAACACCAAGACTTGGAGTCATTAAGTAACTCACCCAAGATCAGTGACAGAGCTGCAGTTCACACCCTAGTCTGCCTCCCGTCTAGCATAAGGAAGAGTAGGCACCTGCTCACTCTGGGGGTAGGGCGCTGGTCAGGTGGGGAAAGCAAGGAACGTCGTCCCGTTTGAGTGAGTTTTAGGGAAGGGTGATTGAAGCCCAATTCCAGGGCCCTTGACTGCCAGGGTGAGGCTCAAGAGCTGAATTGGGGACGTAAGGAGAGCTCATGCCCTCATGTTGTGTTGTGGGAAAGTAGAAGGAAAGGTTGAGCATTCCAGCCTTGGGCGAGCCCCTGTCCTAGGACTGAGGGGCCCCGGAAACATGGTACTTAGAATTCCCATTTATTATTGGGTGATGAACTTCTTGAAACACCTTTCAATCCTTTTTTTTTTTTTCTTTCTTCCTTTTTTTGGAGAAGTTTTTGCTGTAGGGCACATGCACTTGCCAGAGAGACAGAAAGCAAGAAATCACCCCCAGGGGGGATGGCCACGCTGCAATCCCTTCTCCATTGTCCTCTCAGGATCTTGGGCATGCACACACACGTGCTCAGCGTGAGTTTAAGCCACCGGGTCCAGGACTCGCACTGTGGTTGACTACATGGGAATCCAGCGACATAGCCATTACGCCAACTGCTGGTTCCAGAAACACCTTTCAATTTTGTCCTCAGAATCCCACCAAACAGATGGAGTATATCCTAAAGAATGAGCATTGGGAGAACCAGCAGTTAGCGTAATGGCTATGTTGCTGGACTCCCACGTAGTCAAACGCGGTTCGCGTCCCC